TTTCTATTAAATTATGATGTTTTTTGGTTATTTTTCGAGTTTTGAGTCCGGACGGATGATTTTTGTCTACTTTGGGTTTGTGCTGATGCTAAGCCACACGATTTGTATTTTCCAGGTCACGTTGCTTCAGGGTCGGGACCGCACATTTATAACTGTCTAATAAACCATATCAGTCTATCATATTTGGGGCATTTAGATAGATAACTCATAATTCTTATATATTTATATATCTTACATTCATACTTATATATGAATATTAGTCAAATCTTTAACATCACATCAAAAATGCCGCTATCGATATATGTTTAAAAGCGAAATGCGCCTTTTCATATATAAGTTTATTATACTAAGATGTAAATATCAAACTTTAGGGGTTAGATAAGTAAATACATTAGAATTGCGTCGGTATGTAAATTTTTATATTATTTTTATGTTGGACTCGAACCTAACTCATCAACTTGAAGTAAGAAAATAGAATTAAGCTCCACCAAATGCTTCGCTGGACCGGTTACGGAGAAAGTAAGAAATTAAAAAAATAACATGTAATTAGGAAATTAACCCAAAAAAAAAAAAAAGCAACAGTTGAAGTACTCACTCTCCTTTGGAGAACCACATCTGCTGAAATGATCCAAGGGAAGCCAAAATGCTCCCTCCTATCCATACACTGTAGAGAATAATAGAGCCAGTTATTTTAGATGAATAAAAGAACTGGAAATTAAAAGAAAAAAGGAGAGTCAATACTTGTGTAAAAATCTCTCCTAAATATGTTTTGGAATAATTACATATATACCATTCAGATTAATATATTTACAAAAGTAGCGCCAATGTTATTTTTTTAAACTACCAAACTCATGTACTTACACATGCCACAATCAAATCTTTGAGAATATGAAATAAAAATAAAGGCAGCTAACACAAAACGAACACATGTAAATTTATAATCTTTTTGTTGTATATAAAACTAGGGGTAGTCAGAACGAAACTCTCTTTCGACAAATTATGACATCCACAGACATTCTTGATCATCCTTTAAGGTCCCATCAAGGTATGTATGTAAGAAAATTAATATATCATCTGATTTAGTGCAAATGGTTTAATTACTCAATGTCTGCATTGCAACACTAAAGCAAGAAAACTTTCATTTTCCAATCAGCATCAACAAAATAAGCATTATTACTTTCATAACCATCGACCAAAATTACTTACTACAGACAAAAAAACTTTAAATTATTGCAATAAATAAACGTCAAGTATTAGTGATATTTCAAGTATTAGACAAAATTTCTATGGCACAGAATGTAAAACAGACCTGAATCGTCTCTCTGTCGCGTTTCCGCTAGCTAATACCTTCACCCTTGCAGCTTGAGGACTCTCCTACAAGGCCACAAAAACATGTCACACGGATTAAACAGAATATTCTTAAAAATAAATAAATAAATAAATAAATAAATATTATGCTGCGCAGTAAAATCACCATTAAAATGATCATACTCCCAGATGCAAAAAAGTTTGAAATTTGAGTTTAGTTAACAGGATAAAAAAGAGTGTATGCCAAAATTAATAAATTGAATTTAAATTTTAGCATGCTAGGGCTTTTCTCTTATACAATTGTAATGAGACAGATTTATTGCCTCAGGGCATTCTTCTGGATCAACTTTATCTTTTATTTTTGTTTATAAAAACATATTTGTTTAGTGTATTTTTTACAAAATGATCCTTAAAGGCCCCTAAGATTTTAATTTGCCACAACATATTCAAATTTCAAAGAGAATTGGCCGTATATATTGCTTGAAACTAGAAGACTACGAATAGGAAAATGTGAAAATTAAGTGATTGAGCCGATATAAAATTAAGTAAATTTCTTGCAGAGAAAACCAAAAGAATAAGTGAGAATGGGGATTAGGAAAAAAAATAAGAAAATCATATTTGGAGGAAAATAAATGAAGAGAAGATAACTATAGAAGACATTAGGAAAACTTTAGAGTCATTAAGAGCCTGTTTAGGATCCCGTTTTGCGGCTATTATTTTGTGGAAAAGGAGAAGCGACGTTTGGGAACCCTTTTATTTCGAGTGTTTCGCTATTTGGGGGACCGCAACAAGTCAAACGCCTAAAGGAAAGGGTGAGAGCGTGTTCCGCGGCTGGAGCTCCATTGCGAGGTGCCTTTGAAGCCGCTGCCCCTTTGGATTTCGGTAATCCCACTCCCTATCCTTGCATAGACCCTCACCTCTGCCTTCCTTTATCACTCGTATCATTAAGGCTGAAACCTGGTTCTGCTCCCCTCCCTCTGTTCGACGCTGACGACTTGCCACAACCTTCAGGTGGAGTTTTCTCCCCTTTGGGTTTTTTTTTTTTTTTTGCGGTTCATTCGCTGCCAACCTCTGCTTTTCTTATTTCTTTTGTGAATTTTTTTTGTGTTCTTGATCTGCATATGTATCCACCGTTATATGATGGTCAATTAGCTTGTTCTTTTTCATGTATATGCATAGATGAACATGAGATTTCTAAGCACCTATATATTTTTTTTCTTCTTGTATTGCATATGCTTTGATGTAAAGTTTAAGTTTGCAAGATAGATTAATTAGTAACATCAATAGTAATCTTGATGAAGCATTAGAAGCTATGGAATAGAAAATATATGAGATTTGTTCATTTATTTTTTAAAGATTTATTATTTTAAATATCCTGAATATGGAATAACATTTTGAGGTGGAGAATGTTGAGCATCACTCCTTTGTTTTAGTTTTCTTCTGCTGAGACTTTTATAAACATAATTGCATATGCTCCGTTGCATATTTGAAGTTTGCATGGTACATAAATTTGCAATATCCCTACCTGTTCTGAACAATCAGTAGAAGCAATGAGATGAAATACATACGATCAATGTTCATCTATTTATTTTAATTTTTTTTCTTGGTTTATTTTCTTTAGATAAGTATATGAGCAAAGATTTTCAGTTTGTTTAACATATTTTGGTTTCATTTGTCTCCTCAGTGTAGAGTAATATTTTGGGGGGGGAATGAATAACCTCATTGCTTTTTTTTAGCAAAAAAACATTAAAGAAGGCCTCAAGACGCGCCTCATATTACGTAATTTTAAACAAGGATATCCAGTTAGAAATATTAGTTCTCCCCCAACACATGGTAATTGCCGTTGATGTTATTCATTCTCCACTTTGAGTTTTATTTGTGCATAGAGATTTGAAAACTTCCAATCTTCATAGTCAAAGAGGTCTAATCCCTATTTCGATTGCTCTACGTTTTAAGAGCTTAAATCATAATCTTTTCTATGATTCGTTTTTACATGTTTTTTCAAGATATTCATCAAATTGGTATTAATCTTTCTTCCCAATTTTTATCATTTATTCTTGTAACTTTTGGTAGTCCATTTTTTATGTTAGCCAAATCTGAGGATGGTTTGATCCCCTGAGAAACTAATGAGTCTCTTAAACAATTTATGTTTATCTAAAATCAAAAAAAGTTGTTAGTTGGTTTAGCTCGGTTGTGAGTCCTGTTTGGCCAATTTGATTTAATATAATGAACATTTCAAAATCACTCAATTGACCTAATTCATTAAATAAATCATTTAAACCGACCGAATGCACATCCCCAGAGGGACTTCATAAAAGTATCCTAAATTTCTAATTATTCAAGACCTTTTCTCTCGAAGAATGTACCATGTGGTAGGATTCCAAATGTGCATACTTAAAATGGACACCTCATTTTGACTTCACCCCAAGTTCGATAATTTTTCCATTCATAAATTTGTTACTTCAATCAATCAATATTGTATACTTTAAATTCAATTTTTGAAAAACGCTCTAGGTCAATGATGCTGCTGCAAAAGCTTTCTAATCGTTAGTGGCTTGGTATCAGTTGAATTGGTTTTTTTCCCCCACTTCAAAAAGAAATTAAGATGGAACTCGACATCTAACACATCTAACAGCTCCTGAAAGGTGTTGACCTCATTTTCAGGTGAGGTGTTTACTTCTCTTCTTAGAGCCTAGGATCTAGCTTTAGACTTCCCTTATTTGAACCTCCTAGAGGACTAGTACGGGACTCACACCATTTAGAAAATTCAAGTCACCTTGAGCCACCTTGTCACTTCTTCGAGTCTCGTATGGGTGGTCCCGAATCCTTGGCATTTTGCTGAGTTAGTTAGAACCGACATATGAAGCTCGAGTTGAGTTCCTACATGAATAGGAGCAGCCTCTAGACAAACCTCTTGCGACTCAAATTCTCACTAACGCCACATTTTGTGCATGTATTGCACCACGCACGATTTTGACTTAAATTGACTTGCCCATCGGCGAACTCGTTTGGACCACCTCAGAAGACGAAACAGACCACACAGATGCGTCTGAAACGTCGATTTTAGCTAGAAATGACACCCATATCAAAATGATTTTGCATGTGAGCAATTAGCACATAAATCGATGCACATTTTTTTAATTAGCGGGGCACGGGCTCGGGCTCAACCTAGGTTCAACTCGAGTTCGATTTGGGTTGGATGCGGGCTGAACACGGGCTAATCTACCCAGCTCACATAATTTTAAAATTCAAATTTCGAACTTCAAATTAACCATTTAATCTCATATTAATTGGGTTTAATTAAAAGTTAGTATTTACCTAATAAGCATTCCCCCACATGGAAGGTAATTAATTTCGCACCTAATGCCTATAACTGACACTTGCGTCTATACCAATTCGCTCGATCCGCTCCTTTGATTAATTCAGCTCTCCCGTTCGCCTTTATTCTATTCGATCTCCCCGTCTGCTCTCCTCTCGTCATCGCAAACCCTGCTCATGACAGATCCCTCTCGCCCCCTCCTCTTCACCTCTCTTGCTCAAGACCCACCTGCTTGCCTTCTCCCTCACGCACCGAACTCGATCTCGCCTCCTCCTCAGTGCCGCAACCCTAGTCGCTCGCCTCCCCCTGGCAGTCGGCTCGCCCCTTCCTTTCACGTTGAACTCTCCCCACCCGAGGCTCCCTCGCTTCTCTTGCAACTAAGCAAGGTTCTGAAAAGGGTATTCGAGTTCATAAAAAATTCGTGCTCTCCCAAGGAATTTAACTCTAGATTGGTTAAAAAAAATACCTAAAGCTTACATGCTTTTCTTCTTACTTTTGGAAAGATTTGAAGGTCCTATGCTCTTTGATTTGTGAGAGAAGGTGAAAACCTGAAACTTACATGCTTTTTCTTCTTACTTTTGCAAAGATCTAAGGGTCCTATGCTTTTGATTGGCGGAAGAGGGTGAAAATTATTCATGCAATATTAAGTTTCCTTGTGAGCTAACTTATCTAGGCCGATTTGGAAATTGAGGGAAACATTCTACTCAATTCAAATGTATATTTACATATCTCACACATAAACTCTACTCATTACATTCATGCCATGCGAATCTTTCATATCATATAAAAGTTACTACAATTTTGGGTAGGAAGTTGAATGCCACTGATTATTTATGGGCTACTCCTAAATAATAATAGCTGAATCTGGGAAAATATTATTCCTTATTGAGGGCCAAGCTTGTCTTGTATTGTTTTCTTTGAAACACTGTTACAACTTTATAATGCATAGAACGCCTACATATGTGAGATCTGAATGCATGCGTGCGGTATATGGAATTGCTATTGCCTTTGTCCTTTTCGTATACCAATGCAATTGTACATATGCAGCTTATTTGAATTCTGGATATACTTACACTTGTGCAAAACTTGAATTGAATATACGTACATACAGAACTCTTGAATGTCAAGATTTTAAATGTCAATTTTGGGGGCCGCTTACTCACTGTTTTAAAGGCATTAAGCACATCATTTGGGGGTTGCTTTACTCACTGTTTGGAGCCATTTTGGGTGCTTTTGTGGGCTGGTTTTAGAGTAGTTTTTGCACCACTTTGGCACCGTTTTTAGCACTGATTTTGGGTGCTTTTGTGGACTGGTTTAGGCCGGTTTTGCTGCAGTTCTTGGAGCTTTAAAAGTACCTTTTTAGAGAGGTTTTAGCACTGATTTTGGGTGCTTTGTGGGCTGGTTTTGGAGAAGTTTTTGCACCCCCTTTGGCACTGATTTTGGGTGCCTTTGTTGACTGGTTTTTGGAGCAGTTCTTGCACCGTTTTGGGGCATTTTCCTTTGTGGGCTGATTCGTGTTTAAATTCCTCAACAATTTGGAGCCTCTAAAAATATGTTTTGTGAGTTAATAAAAGCTGTTTGGAATCACCGATTGCTGTTTGGAGTGCTTGAAAGCTGTAGAAGAGCAGTAGAAAGCTGCTGTTTGGGTTTGAAAGTGATGTGAGAGCTGTGGGTGGCTGTTGGGAGCTGTTAATAGCTGTAGAAGTGCTTTTGGGAGTTTAAAAGTGCTGTGAGAGCTGTAGAAAAGCTGTAGGAGGCTGTTTGGGAGCTGTTAGCTTCTGTGGATGGTTGTTTGGGAGCTGTAGGCTGCTGTAGATGGCTGTTTGGGAGCTGTAGGCTGCTCGTTAGTGCTAGAATTGCTGTTTGGAAGCTTATAGCTTCTGTTTGGTGCTAGGAAGTGTTGTTTGGAAGCTTATAGTTGTTATTTGGTGATTTGGTGCTAGGAAGTGTTGTTTAGCCCTTAGAAGCTGTTGTTGGGAGTTCTTAGCTGCTGTCATGACTCGTTTTGCTACTTTTACACTAGAACTCTTGTTTTCTCCTTTTTTTGCGTATTTATTTAAATTCTCTACAATTTATATTATATGTTTTATAAGCTAACCACGCAGCGGGAACATCAGCAGCAGATACGTCAGGTACGCATGTACATTTTATTTATTGTCATTTTTATCACTATAATTTACTCTTGCTTTATTGTATCGTGCATGCATGGTTGCAATTTCATTTTCAAAATAAAACAATTTTTAAAAATTAAACAACATTTTTCAAAAATAAAAATAAAATAAAAAATAAAAATAACACAAAACAATTTTCAAAAATCAAACAACATTTTCAAAATAAAAATAAAAACATAACACGTACTTTTGAATTTATGGGAGTCCCTCGGATGAGGTAACCTACGTTGCTAACAGGATCTTCCTAGTTTAAATGAGCTTAACAACTCGTTTAAGCTAAGTAAATTCAAAAGAAATAGTGGCACCGGAACAAGGGAACCGTGAAATCTCAACTGGTATTGCTCTAATCAACTTTAACCCGCCCCATAATGCTTGAATAATAATAAAACCAAAACCTTGAAACACACCTGGTAAAAACTTTTGAACCTTAGACTTTAGGACTGCTACTTCAAATAGGAGCTTGAAGTCAGCTTTGTGGGCAGCACGACAAGAAGTTTTGATCGAGCAACAAGAGAATCTTCTTCAACAATTTCTCATTAGTCTAAATAATAACCCATAGAACTTCGAGGTAGCTCGCCCAGCGCAACGTAAATCCTCGCACCCTCTTTAGACTCCTGTACAACCATATTAACTCACCTTAGGTTCCGAGATTGTCGTTCGGTACAACGTAAACCCTCCTATCTCTGCGAGCTACTTACATAATCAGTTATTATGCAAGTGTAAGTCTTAAATAATAAAATTTGCAGGATTGAACACTTAAATAACATCGTCTCAAAAACTCAGCCACACATTAAGATAGTTTGAGAAGTCACTGATGTTTCTCCTCAGGATCTATGACATCCCCTACCTTTCTCTTCCTTTGAACTCCTGAAAATAATTATTCCTATTTGAGTCACTCCCACTTGTTTTTTTCACGTCTTACCGTGAAAACCTAAACTTTAAATTCTTAAAAAAGACTAGTACCTCTGATCATCATCGAGAGTTTTCTCAAGTGACCCCCGTCATTTAGGATGTAATTAACTATAGGGGTTTGTCTTTATAGGGAACTTGAAACCCAGATAAAATAAACCCTACTTAATCTTTATATTAGGTGGGGGAATTTGTCTGTCTCACATAAAAAGTTCGCATGTCAAACGAATGTCACAAATCTCTTAGTTTGAAGGATTGGGTCAATCGTCTAGGTATACACTTATCTTTCAGAAAGGTGTAGTATTCGCGGTATCAGACACGATTATGCAAACTATTAGACTAATGAGATCCACTTAGTCTTATTTTTTTCAAAAATTAAAACATACTATTTTCAAAACTCAAACTATATACCCATTGTATTAAGTTTAAATTTAAAAATTATTTTCACTTTTAAAAATAAAAAAAGTTGATTGACAGAAGGTTAAATTAAAAGGCATTCAACCATATTATTTTTTTTGGAAAATATTAAGTTCACTTCTAAGAAAGTTAAAGAGCAGCCCAGAAGCTATGGAAACCAAGTAATCAAGGCAATTGGGATCTTTCAACTAATAAAATTCAATTGTTTGAAGCAATGGCGATATTTATCTAGTTTAAACTCAAAACTTCAAACAACTTTGGTTCCAATCATAGTATCAAGGCCTTTCAGCGCAGCTAGCCAAATCCCTATGCCTATTCACATGATTCTTGAACTCGTCCCTCCTGGGATTCCTGCTTATGATAATCAAATTATTGCTAGGAATACCAGTGATGCAGACAATTTATGTTGCCTTTGTTGTTAGCACTTCTAGCAATATAAGAGCTGATGAACAAGAAATTTCAGATTATATATGCTAAGAAAGAAAAAACATCAAGTATACAATCATATGATCTAAGTTAGACGATTACAAAATGATCCTGAGGTTTTTCCTACTATTTTTGCCATGTCGATATATAATGTTTTTATTTCTTCATTTGATCTAGTAATGTTTTGTCACTACTTCACATTGTACTTTTTTCATTTAATGATAATTAACCTTGTCTGATTTTTAAAAAAAATTCAGCACGGGGAACCAATATTTTGAACTTAATATGCATAAAGAACAAGGGCCTATCATTTGTGAGTAGCATTAGATAAAAGAAAAAATAACCGAAAACTTTATGCTAAATTAATAAAAAACAAGCTAGTAAGATGTTGGCTGCAAAAAAGTACCTCCATTAGATCCTTTTCAAGCCTCTCTTTTAGTTGCTGCATGGATGCTGTGCCACCAGAAAGCTGGTAAGAAAAAGATGGGAATCACCAAAACATCAAAAACAACTACATGCAACTACCAAAGCGCTATGATAAACTCATTTTCAAGAAAGCAATATGGAAAAGACGGAAAAAAAAAACACTTGCTTGTTCAATGATACTATAAAAAGACGATATTACAAATAAAGCCTACAAAGATGCATGGAAAAAATCAAAAACATAAACATAGCTGCAGCACTAGCAATATGAGGAGGAGCAGAAATACAGCAAGGAGCAAAACAATTGTACGTATTTCGCTACATAGTTTATCAAAAAGCATACTTTCAGTTTATGCAGCATATAACAGCATTACATCTCCAGCTAAAAAGTTACAGGCACCAAAGAAAAGCACACTATAAATAAGCAAGTATATAAATATTGTGACAGAAATATTATGCAAGAGCAATCATTATTAAGTGAAGTAGTTTTAGGTGGATAAAAGCACAGGGTCAAGAAAACTTGATTCTGTGCTTTAACTGTACAACATTTTAGCTGATTACTTTGGCAGGGAAGAAACTATGATAATTTTCTAGAAAAAAAAGGTTTCCCGCCAGAGTATTTTTAAGTTAAACATCTGCAGTATTTTTCCAATAATGCATGATAGAAAACAGCTAAATTAAGAACAATTAGAGCCATAGGCATATGAGCAAGACATATATACTCCCGTGATTTCAAAGAGGATCAAATTATAAGAATGGATACATCACGTCCTTTCTAAGAGAGAAGGAAACAAAGAGATTGAGAGCAAGAATGTAATGAAATGCAAGATAAGTTGGACAATCAAAAAGGAAGAACGAGTAGGAATTGCAGTGGCCGCATCAAGCGTAATTTAGATGGTATTGGCCAGAGGAAGTGTTGTTTTCATGTTGGATAGGTAGAATAGTAGGCGGACAATTTTTTGGTGCAAGAAATTTTATGGTTGTAAGAGACAAAAAGAGGGTAGAGGAAGTGTTGTTAACGCTAGAACAGATAACAGTTGGCTACTACAATGATGTAGCTGCCAAATTTTTAGTATCCTAAGTAGGCACAACTGCAATAGGATATATATATATATATATATATAGGAAATATTATTATTTACAAAATTTAGTATCATATGTGATATTTTTGAACAATCCAATTAATTTATTTATATGTGTCAAGAATAAATTATAGAGAAAATTTGATAAAAATGAAAAATATGAGTTAGAGGTTTTATCATGAATTTTCAAATTTGAGAATATTAAAAAAATGACTGAAAAAAAGTGCTAGATATGTAAATAGCAAGGTCCTGATTGCTATCTAATGTAATTACCCCTAAATAAATTGAGAAAAAGACAGAATGTAATATATATATATATAATTAACTCAAAATAACAATCGATCATTGTCATTTAAAATATTCAGTTGTAAGTTCGCATCTAAATAATATAACTTTTCTTCTCTAACCACATAAGTAAATCCCCTTGAATCATGCATCCTCATTTTAGATAACTACTAAAAATAGAAGTTCTTTTCTTATTGGCACCTAAAATTGTACCCTTCTTCTGATTTTTTTTTTTCTTTTTTTTTTTTTTTTTGCAAATCTAATTCTAGAAGAACAAATATCACGTGTCATCGTTTGGATAAGTTAAATGTTTCAGTAGAAATTGTGAAATAAATAACATGTAAAATATGATCAATATCTGAATGCTTGCAATTGCCTGACATGCAAGAAATAAATAAAGCATTTACTTACCAAAATGCTGCTAAACAACTCTCTACGAATGTCCACATCACATTTATTAATGCTCTCAATAACCTGAAACAGGCAGAAGTAATTGAACTTTTTGTAACTTGAGCTAAAGAGTTTGCTAAAAACATTACAAAAATCATTTTACCATTTGTGGGAGGCCAGAAACAAGAGAAGAATCTGCAAAATTCTCCATTCCCGGTATAGTCTGCTTAATCCAAAAGATGAACAAATTATTTACATATAAATTGTAGATAACGAATCAAGTATTATACACTTTCCAATGTCAATGTTATCTTCTAAGTAGTACAAAAAACACATTTCAAATATCACAATTAAAGCATATATTCATGCAACAGGAAATCTATAATAACTTTAGTTTAAAACAAAAGCCATCCAAAGAATAAATTTTCAATGGTTAGATTTCTCAACATTACTGATACAAAATTAATGCCTAAAACAAAATAAACAGAAATTCAAAACTTTTTTTGTATGTTAATAAAAAATTAGCATGCTCCAAGGGATTCTAAGTTGGCCAACTTACCAGAATCAGCCAACCTTTGTATTACAAGTCACAGGAGCAACCTTTCACAAAATTTTTGTCAATACAAGCATGGAGGCTTAAAGCTCATAAGTGCAGGTGAGGATTTTCTGGTGAGGATTTAAAAGAAAAAAAATTATTTGTAATATTGAATAAATCACAAATTGATTATTTTCTTATGAGAAGAAGAGATCTTCGAGATTTTAAAGATTGTAAGGTCATTCCAAGTGAGGATTTAAGTACCCAACATCGATTATTAGTTCTATATTTTAAGATGAAGAGTTGCAAAATAAAGAATACTAGAACTCATCATCATAGAATTAGATGGGAGAACCTAAAAAACATAAAGTTTTTTTTTTTAAATAAAATTCAAGATTTCAAAATTTGGGATGTTCATGATAAAGCAAATACTACGTGAAATACAGTAACAAACACTATTAAAATATTAGCAAAAGATATACTTGGAGAATCAAAAAAGAAACTTTATATAAATAAAAACAGTTGGTGGAGGAATAATAAAGTACAAGAAAAGATAAAATATAAGTTATATTATAAAAATTGATTTAAATATAAATGCTTAGAGAGTTGGAAAAAATATCAAACTGCCCGTAGGGAGTTTAAGAGAACAATATGTGACGCTAAAAAATCTGTTTTTAGTGATCTTTATAATATATTATATACTAAAGAGCGTGAACAATATATGTATAAACTAGCGAAACTAAGAGAAAAGAAAAGTAGAGATTTATCTCAAGTAAAGTGTATTAAAGATGAGAATAAAAAAAGTTATTTTCTTAGAAAAAAATATTCAACATGGGTGGGTAAGTTATTTTAATATACTTTTTAATGAAATTTCTGAAAATGTGATAGACCTTAGTGATCCTAATATCGTTAATAATAATAAAATATTTCATTTTTACCGTCGCATTAGTAAAAAAGAAGTTGATGTCGTATAAATAAAAAAAGATGTGGGGGGGTTAAAAGAAAAACAAGAGTGGGAAGTCTGTAGGACCTGATGATATCCCAATT